TGGATTGTTTTTTCTGACTCTGAGTGTTTGCATTCCTGGGATTGATGAACCCGTGTTTCCAGCTCCGCTGAGCCCCGGGTGCCTGTGATCGCAGCGGGGTGCTTTCCACCGGGCAGGAGTCACGTTCAGCAGGGGGGAAACCGTCCCCCCACCACTCGCAGCCAGAAAAGACGACCTGACGGAGCGGCGCGGCAGCGGGCTTTTGCAGTGTTGTTCTGGGAGAGGAGCGCGGCAGGCATCCAGTGTTGTTCTGGGAGAGGAGCCCGGCAGCTCTCGCAGCGCCAGCGCAGCCCGGCAGCCAGTCCTCCTCCCTCCAGGGCTTGAGGCTCGGGATGGATGGGCTTCACGGGTTGATTTAAACGGGGGGAAATAAAAGTCCTACGGACGCGTAAAGGATGGGGCTGAAGCATCTCTCGGTCCTCGTGGGTGAGGTGAGAAGTCTCGGGCTCAGCTTGTGGTGAGGGAGATGCATTTTTCGCCGTCTGCAAATGCTCCCCAGCCACAAAGACGATGAAGCGCTGGGGCTGCGATGCTCTTTGCACCTCCTGAGGCACGTGTTGGTTCCCCCGGCCCGTATCCCCCCGTGGATCCCTGGCTAAAGCCCAGGGACCTGTTTGTGCCTTTCAGGCAGAGGAAACCCTGCCACTCCCCAGCAGCCTGTCCTCATGCCGGGATCTTCCCAAATGCCCGGCTGCGATGGGGATCCTGGCTTCCAGCAGGGATCCCGGGCGGAGGATCTGGCCCTGGCAGAGGCAGAGGTCAGGCTTGGGGGTGGTGAACGATCTCTCCTGCCTGTCAAATCTGAGCAGGATTTTTGGGTCATCTCCTGGATGGGGAGCAGGAACACCAGCCCCTCGTGCCCAAGGGCAAGAGCACCGGCTCCGTGCCCAGGCGGGACAATCCCGGACCCGTGCACCCTCCCCTCCCGGGCGGAGCTGGACCTGTGGGCCCAGCGGGAGCTCTGCACTCTGTCCTGGGTGGTGGCTGGGAGCTGTGGTTCCCCCAGACCCCAGCATGACCCAGCTTTCCGCCCCCTCAATGCAGAGGAAATGCCTGCAGGCGGTGCTGGCTCTCTGGTATGCTCCGTTGGCTCCATCTGGCCTACACATGTGAATTCGGCTCTGTGCCTCGAGGAAAAGCGAGAGGCTTTGCAACATTCCCCCACCGCCTCTTGCTGGCCTCGACGTTCGGGCCCTTTCAGCTGGTCCCGGCCAGCCTTGAGCCTTGCCTGCCCTCGCAGCTGTCCCCGAGGCCGGCTGAGCCCCGTTTCTCTCCGCAGGGAATGGCGTGGTGCTGAGGAAGCTCTGCGAGCTGCAGGCGGGCGAGAAGTGCTGCGTGGTGGGGACGCTCTTCAAGGCCATGCAGCTGCAGCCCTCCATCCTGCAGGAGATCAGCGAGGAGGTAACAGCGGGGACGTTCCCTCCCGTGGGCCCCCCTGGCTCATCCTCCGCACGGCTCTGGGGGACGTGCCAACACACATCGGGACCTTGACCGGCTTCCCATCGCTTCCCTCGTGCTCCCTGTGGCCGAGCAAGTGGGAACTGCCAGGGATTTGACCCGGGGAGCTGGTGTATAATCTTCTCTGTGCCTACCCCGTCCCTAGATGCCGCCACTCTTGGTGCCACCCCTTTGTGCCGGCGTGCATCGTGTATGTGCCTGCTTGGTGTTGCTTTTCCTGCCCTTGGAGGGTTTGGATCCAGCGGGGTTGACAGAGCAAACCTGCTGCCGGGTGGGAAGATGAGGGGGGCGTCCAGGGAAGCTCTGCCATCCCCATGCGGTGCTGGGGGCCCGTCTGCTCCCAGCTGGCTCACGGGGGGCACGTTGGGAAGGTTGGAGCCTGCTCGTCACGGCATGAGGTTAGCACCAAGCCTGCCAGGCAGGCTTCAAAGGGAGCAGAGCGCTTGCCCGGGCGATGATTGCAAACACGTTTCCTGAGCTGAGCCAGAGCGCCGTCTCCCGCTGCCTGGCTGAGCTGCTTCCTCCTTGGCCGGGGAGCCGCGCTCGTGTTTGTTTCGCCGGGGTGCTGCGGGGAAACGTTAAGCGAAACCAGCTCAGCCGGGTGGCGTGCAGCTGGCGAGCAGCGCCGAGAGCTGCCGGGGCCTCCAAAGCGCCGCCTTCAAAGCGGCAGCGGGGACGTTGGCCAAGCCGGTGGTGGGGGGCCGTGCCGGCGGCTCTTGTGAGTCACACGCCCACGCTCTGGGGTTTGGCTCGGGGGGGCGGAAGGGCCCTTTGGGGCAGCTCGGCCTTGCTGAGGCTGTTACAACTGCTCACGGCGCCCGGGCCCCCCCCCCCCCGGCACAACTTGGTGCCTCAGCCGCCCTTTACATCCAATCCCTCCGACGAGCTGATCCTGGAGGACGAGCTGCAGCGGATCAAGCTGGAAGGAGCCGTCGAGGTGCAGAGGCTGGTGACAGGTAGGGGACGATGGCTCCTCAGTGGGAGCCACCTCGCAGGCCCTGGCCGGGGGCTGACCGCCCGCTCTCTGCCGTAGGGACCATCCTTGCTGTGTACGGCTCCGAGCAGGACGATGGCAAGTTCCTGGTGGAGGATCACTGCTTCGCCAGCCTGCCCCAGCAGCTGCCCTGGAAAGGCCCCAGCTCGGACCGGTGAGTCTCTGCAGTGACAGGACGGGGGCTGGCGCCGTGCCCCCCGCCGTATCCCCGAGCCCTGGGAACCATTTGCCGCATGTGCCCATCGGGGTGGGTGCCTCGTGCCAAGAGAGATCGCGGATGGGGGCTTGCGTCCCCCACACCTGGCTCTCTGAAGCCCCTTGGTGTGGGCGGCCCTTGGCATCGCCGTGCAGGCAGGGATCGGCGCAGGCAGGGAGCACGGCGTGCTGCCCGAGCCTCTCCGCCTAGGTTCGTCCTGCTGGTGTCGGGGCTGGGGCTGGGCAGCGGGAGCGGCGAGTCCCTGCTGAGCATGCAGCTGCTGGTGGACGTGGTGACGGGGCAGCTGGGCGCTGAGGGCGAGCAGAGCTGCGCCGCGCAGATCTCCCGCGTCATTCTGGCGGGGAACCTGCTGAGCCAGAACACGCAGAGCCGGGACACCATCAACAAGGTACGGTGGGGAAAGGGTCTTCAGCCTCAACCGTGCTCTCCAGGGCCCAGGCTGGCAGGGGGAGTCCTGTGGAGGTGGGGAAGGAGGAATCGGAGAGGGCACGGGGTTGTTCCCTCACTGTCTCCCCACTGACCCAGGCCAAGTACTTGACCAAGAAGACCCAGGCTGCGAGCGTGGAGGCCGTGAAGATGCTGGATGAGATCCTGCTGCAGCTTTGCGTGAGTGCTTGGAGCAGGAGAGGGTTGGCCGAGGACTTGGGTATCTTCTCGGGGAGGGAGCCTGGCTCCCGAGCCGGGGAAGCAACGCTCTGCCAGCAGCCCGGGGGTGCAGGGTGTCAAACACCCCTTCCCTGGCCCCCGGCTTCCCTTTGAGCACCACATATGGTGCCGTACAGGAATGCAGCAAGAAGGGGAGGCAGCACAGAGCCCAGCTTTAGATCCCTCCCCCGGCATCTGGTCTCTGTGGTAAAACCAAGCGGGGCTTCCCGCGGGGAAGTGGCGGGAGCCAAACTGGGGAGTGAGGCAAAGCCGGCAGCAAGCTCCAGCCGGGGCTTTGCTCTGAGCCTCTTCGAAGGAGGGTGGTTTGGCCATCCCCGGTAATCCCCGCTCTGCCCACAGACCTCCGTGCCTGTGGACGTGATGCCCGGTGAGTTTGATCCCACCAACTATACGCTGCCCCAGCAGCCGCTGCATCACTGCATGCTGCCCCTCGCCAGCGCCTACTCCACGCTCCGGCTGGTCACCAACCCCTACCAGGCCGACGTGGATGGCATCAGGTAAAAAAGCCTGGTGTGCCACCAGCTCTGTGACAACTGCTGGCGGCATGGGATCGCGGGGCAAGTCACTGCAGGTACAGCCGTCCGAATCTCTCCTTCCTTCCCCCAAAACGTTGTAGGTTTTTGGGGACATCAGGGCAAAACGTCAGCGACATCTTCAAATACAGCAGCATGGATGACTACCTGGAGATCCTGGAGTGGACGCTGCTGGCGGGACACATCAGCCCCACAGCCCCGGACACCCTGGGTAAGGCGAGAGCTGGGTGGCCGCCGAGGCTCGGGGGGGTGTTTGCCCTCCCAAGGGGTGCAGGTGCAGGTTCCCCTCCTAATTTCCATCCCTCCCAGGCTGCTACCCTTTTTACAAATCGGACCCTTTCATCCTCACCAACTGCCCTCATGTCTACTTCTGCGGCAACGCTCCCCGCTTCCAGTCCAAGCTGCTCAAAGGTGAGTCCCACAGCCTGCAGGACCCCCCCCAATCCTCGCTCGGGGCTGGGACCCCGCGCTGGGGTGCCGACCAAGAGATATCCTCCTGACGCCCGCCTGTCTTTGCAGGGGAGGACGGGCAGCAGGTTCTGCTGGTGACGGTGCCCGCCTTCAGCACCACGCAGACCGCCTGCCTCGTCAACCTGCGCAACCTCAGCTGCCAGCCCATCAGCTTCTCCGGCTTCGGGGCCGAGGACGATGACGGGGACATGGAGGTCGGGCACTGACTGAGCAGGCAGGGCATGGACTCGATAAACCCCTGGCCCCTCGGAGGGTCCTGGCACCCACCACCTTTGTGTCATCCCCGTCTGCCCTCCCAGGAGGGCTGGCGTGGAGCTGCCGGGGCACGGGAGAGAAGAGATGCTCGTACCAATATAACTTGATTTATTTGTGTAATAAAAAACTGTGTGGAGGGGACAGGGGCTGCGCCTGCCACCCTGTGGGCCCTGCCCTGGGCCCTGCCCTGGAGAGCGGGACCACCCCTGCCAACACCGCTGTGCCGGGAGACGGGGAGGGGGCGAGGGCTGGGACCTGCTTCACCCCCTCCCTTGCCAGGCAAGGGCTGGCACTGCCCAGCCCCGAGGGACGGGGCAGCACGTCCTTTCCTGCCTGGCCCTGGCGCCCGGCAAGGGGGACGCTCCGCAGCCGCCCAGCCTTCGGGGTGTGGAGAGCGGGACCACCCCTGCCAACACCGCTGTGCCGGGAGACGGGGAGGGGGCGAGGGCTGGGACCTGCTTCACCCCCTCCCTTGCCAGGCAAGGGCTGGCACTGCCCAGCCCCGAGGGACGGGGCAGCACGTCCTTTCCTGCCTGGCCCTGGCGCCCGGCAAGGGGGACGCTCCGCAGCCGCCCAGCCTTCGGGGTGAGCATAGGCGTGGCGTGCCCTGCAGTCCTAGGAAGCAGCGCGGGTGAGGAGCTGGAGCCCACCCGGGGCGGGCTACACAGAGCGGGCTGCCTGGGGCTCGAGGAAGATTTCAGAAGCGGATGCCGGAGCCTGCGGCAGGCGAAACCAAACCGGCCGCGAGCGGCCCGGAGGCAGGAGCGAGGGGACGAGCATCTCCTAGTCACCAAAGTTCACGGTGTAGGTCTCGGCCGTGGTGAAGGGCTGCACCGTCCCCGTGCCCAGCTCCCAGGCCTCTGTCTCCGTCACCAGCTCAGTCACCACCTCCGTTTCGGTCTCCGTCTCCCAGGTGCCGACTGTGGGTGGCTCTTGGCTCCAGGGCACGTAGGCAGTGCTGCTGAAGGGGAAGGGCAGGGCCGTGGTGGGCGGCGGGGCTGTGGGGCCGCTGGCGGCCGTGGTGGCATTGAGACGCCGCAGCCTCATCTGTTGCCGGAGCCGCATGCGGTGCCGGAGGCGCATACGCAGGCGCATGCGTTCGCGGGGTGTCATGGGGCGGCCGGGCGTGATGCGGCGGATGGGCCGGTTCCCGTTCATGGCCATGATCTCCCGGATGCGTTTCCAGTTGGAGCGCGACAGGACGAAGTTGCACTGGGTGGCCCCGATGTCGTAGAAGACGCTGCAGGTCTTGACGCTGGGGTTGTAGCCCTCGGCCCGAGCCGAGACGCGGTACTCACCCGGGTTCAGGATGCGCCAGTAGTCCCCGCCGCTGGCTGCGGACAGCGAGGGGAGGCAGCACGGTGTGAAGGAGGTGGCACGGTGCTGCCAGCACCCTGCCTGGCACCCTACCCTGCGCCCTACCTGTCTTGATGTTGTGGTTGATGCCCCCCACAATGATGGTGGCGTTGGCGATGGGTTCTCCCTGCTGGTCCGTCACCAAGCCCTTGATGCCCCGATGGACCTATGCGAGGAAAGGGGTCGAGAGGAGCCGCGTGGGGCAGGCAGGGCAGCTGCCGGCTCCCTGCCCGGCGCGTCCTAGCACCTACCTGCTCCATGAAGGTGAGCAGCGACTCCTTGTTCTTCTCCCACTCCTGCTGCAGCTCACTCTCGTGGGGGAACTTGTCGCAGCCCAGGTAGATGGAGAGCTCCAGGCAGTTGGTGTGTAGGTAGCTGAAGTCGTTCATGCCTGTAACACAAACAACCAAGCGCCCACCCAGCCGCTTGCTCACACCTTCAGGTGGCGGGAGCGTGGGGCAGGCAGGCCGACGCCGTATGGCGTGGCACCCACTTACTGCCAGCCCGGGGATGCCACTTGGCCCCTTGCACGATGCCCATGGCGTTGGTCATGTCCTGCGTGTGACAGCCCCCGCGGAAGGTCTCGGTCATGGTGAGGTGGGCCGAGGCGTAGGAGATGGCGAGCCAGCGGAAGATGGCGTGGTCGGGCGTCTCCTGCAGCTCGGGGTTGTCGTCCTCGTAGTCGTCCGGCGGGCGAGGGGCGGCTGCCGGCACCTCGCTGATGGGCCGGGCTGTGTCAAAGGGGTAGGACACCAGCTTCTCCCCGCCCTGCAGGTTGGCTCCCAGCACGAAGGGGTTCTTGTCCATCCATGCCATGACGGCCCGCGTCTCCACCGCCACCTGCCGAGGCGGGCACGGCGGCGTG